TAAGTTGAGCATATAGAAGCATAGAGGAATTATGGTATCCTGAAAATATTTTTTATTTTGATAGGACTTTAGACGTGAATAATAGACATCCAAAGGCTTTGAGGGATTTTTAATTTGGTATCTTATGGTAAAATTTTTCACATGGACTTAGATTATTTAGAATTGGTGTAGGTAGAATAATTATTAGAAAGACAACTGTTTGAAAAACTTCTATCCAGAATTTCAATGAGACTTTTGACTGAGGTAATAAGATAAGACCCATTTCAGTGAGGTGTCAATGTTTTTTCTCAACTCTACCATTTGAGCAGAGGGATAAAGGTAAGGATACTGAATTTTGATGCCATATTGTTGTAAATAGTCTGTGAGTCTTATGTATTCTCCTCCCATATCAAAATGAATGCACTTGATTTTTCTATCAAATTGGTATTAAACTAAGTTCTTGAATTGTATGAACGTACGAATTAATTCAGATTTATGTTTTAGATAGAAAATCCAAGTGAACTGGCTGTAATCATCAAGGAACAATACATAATACTTATATCTAACCATAAAAGTGACTAGTGCAGGTCCCCATAGTAGTGGATGGAGTGAAAGGTAACAGATGAAATTTTCCTAATTGACAGGCTTCACATAAAGAAAATTGAGAAAATTGATATTTTTTATTACACATTTCAAGAACTTTACTAATAATTTTAGGGTTGGTTGGCCTAAATGTCTGTGCTAAGTTCAGCTAGAGCTTTCATTGCTTTAAAGTACTCCTCTATCTTCATTCATCATTTCTGTATCTTAGCAAACTCTCTTTTATAGAAAACTATATTTGATCTAGATTTCAAGGTAGATAACTCTTTAATTGCATTCCAAAAGTTTCCTGATGTTTCATACCCTATTAATTCAGAGGCCACTACTAGTTGAATAGTACTATAGAACCATCATAGTTACATATGATCTTGCGCAAACCATTCTTCAAACTCTGGGTTTGACTGAATTTGAACTTGCTCAATCACCGTTTCTTCAGTGAACTCTGGTGGGCAGATCTTTGTTTTGGTTATAAATCTTTCTAATTTGTTTCCCCTGATAATGGGTAAATATCATATTCTTCCACAATAAGTAGTTCTCATAGTTCAGCTTAACCATTGTGTATGAACTCATTTGATTTCTTGTTGAATTTAAAGTTTTAATCGTTGTTGTTGTGTTGTTTGCTTAAGTCTTTCCCTCATTTGTTTTTGCTGCCATAAGTTATTGAATTACTACTACCTCCGGTCATTGAAGCTTGACTTTGGTACTAAAAAAAGCTTTATAATATTTTAATAAATTTGTGCTGAAAAAAAATCTCAGCTCATATTTTGTGACGTGAGATTTATTTTATTATATAGATAGTAATGATCAATAGGTATATTACACGTGTACACAAATACAGCTAATATATAATGGAATTGGTTACAATTGTTTGCTAATCATTAGTTGTGTATAATCCTTGCATTTTGTACCACAATGATGAGTTGTCCTCATTTTGGTAATATTCTGCTGACTATCCCCTAGAGCGACCATGTGATTCCTAATACAATATATGAGCTTGTCATGGTGGGTAAGGAGAAACTTCTTCATTTAGTAGAACTTATCCCAAAGAAGATGAGAGAGTTTTGGTTTCTTAACAAGATTGCACTTGAAATATCTTTTTAAATATTATTTTTCTCACATCAAAATTTAAGTAAAAAGACTATAAACATAAAATATAAAACAATAATGATGGAAAACAGTGACTCCTTGAACATGTTGACAAGATCTGGATCACAAACTCTTTACTCAATGAACCCCCAAAAGAACAATTAGCATTCTTAATTGATATAAGAGGATGTCTTTGGACGCTTAATACTCATGCTTAATTATATAAAAAATTACTTATTAGGTTATTAAAGATGAATTTAAGAAAATAGAATTTGAACACTATAATTTTAACTTCTCAAATTTTTTAAAATCTTAATTATTGACTTAATTACCCTCTTCATATTCTCAAAATTATAAATATATATAATAATGTAAGTAAGAATATGCATTTAGCTTTCTAATCATTTAAATCTAATTTGTTTAAAAAGAAATTAAATACTCATGTTTAAAAAAAAAAATTCATTGAATCGACTAAACTCTATTTATAAATAAAAAGTTAAATTAATTGCTCATTTATAATATTAAAATTAATATATTATATAAAAAATTAAATTAATACAGTGAAGTAGATTAGGAATATATTAATGCAAAATTATAATTTAAATATTTATAATGTATAATATAAGGAATTTCTAAGTCGAATTTTTATTCAATCTTTTCGGTTAAGATCACAAATTTACTCAACCATAAAAGATAAAATTCTCCCTTCCAACAAATGAATGATATTCTACAAATTAAAAAAAAAATTGCAATCAACACCTCCAACTTTCCAAAATTACCAAAACTCACCTAGCATTTTATTACGGGGAATACCACTACCAGAGGTTTAGCGATTAGCAACTCCCAAAGCAAAAGCATGTTAGGCGCTGCTATCACCGCCAACTCCGCCGCATCAACTGTCGCTGCAACCGCCGCTCACTCCTCGACCTCTCGCTTATTCTCTGCTGCTTTGCACCGAAGAGCCTCCTTTTCTTCTCGTTCTCAGAAGGTAACTACAATCTTCTTTCTATCTTACTATCGTAACTACTGGAACAAGGAAAAGAGAGGTTTGGATTTTTCTGTTTCCTGCTGATTGTTAGGCGTCAATTGCATATGTTCTGGTTCAGGCGTTATCTCTGCGCCCGAGCTGTGGTCCAGTCAGAGCTATGGCTGAATTTCAAACTCTTTCCGAGACGAAGAATCAGCTGCCGTCCTCTGCTTCTGGTGACGTACTATCACTTATCTCAAGCTATAACATCATAATTTATTTTCTTTTCCGTGGCGCTTTTTGTTAGTGCAAAAGGGACTTCTTATTTTTCTCTCTTCTGGCGCCGTTAGCTCTAGTTTGACATTCATCTATGTTCCTTTCTATAACGAGGTAGAAATGCCGACTTTGTATCTGCTAAAGAAATCAGCCGAAGTTACGCTTTTTTAATTTGATTGCTGTTTTTTTTTTCTTTTTCCAGCCAAAAAGCAAGCGCTGATATCATTGTCGGACAAGAAGGACTTGGCTTTTCTTGGAAATGGGCTTCAAGAATTGGGGTAGTTTCATTATTTCTGTTTGTTGATAGAAAGTTATTGCCTTCATTTTGTTTAGTCTTTTTGTTTCTTTCGAACTATGAATATAAGACTTTCTTTGATTAGCACTGCCAAATTTTATCTTTGTATTCTTGAATCCTATTTTTTGATACGAAAGTGGCAACATTTTGAACTGCAGATACACGATTGTATCCACTGGAGGAACTGCCTCGGCTTTACAAAATGCTGGGCTATCTGTGACTAAAGTAGAGCAGCTTACTTGTTTTCCGGAAATGGTGAAGCTTCTCTTATTTTTGTTTTCTTGGTACACTTCTTTTACACAATATGACCTTTTTATGTTGGAAAGAAAAATCCTGAAGTTCTTTCAGTATCTTTTGCTGATTCTCCTACCAATGATTCAACTGCTTACATTTGGTTGAAGAATTGCCTATAATGTATGCATACCCACTTATAACACTACAACAACACTTGCTAAAGAATTGCCCAACCAAGACATTTCCTAGGAGGTGAAAAGTAGATCCATCCCCACCCTGTTTCTGAGGCTATAATTTAATTGGCCAGAAACATGTATTTATTGGAGAATCTTTTATGAATATCGTGGATATTCCTGAGGGTACAGCAAGTTTGTAATTTATGTAACCTGTTTATGTGTAAATTATGCTGTTATAACTTGATATCCTTCAGAGTCATTATGGTAGTTATCAGATACCTCCTTTTTATTGTAAGTCTTATTCCTTCTATAATAAAGGAGAGCCAGATAAGATAAATGAAAGAAGCAAAGTGGGGTATAAACCGATACTATCCTATGAGGACCACAACATAGCTATTATAGGAGCTACTTTGCCGGACAAATTTCCTCCTGGTTCATGTGAATGGCTGACCGATATTGTGCTTGTGTTTCCCCAGTTCTGTCCATAGTGCTGAAAATTATGATTAAGGTAACGCATCTATTATAAGAGCCACTTTGCTGGACAATCAATTCCCTCCTGTCTGGTTCATTTGAATAGCTGAACATGCCCAATATTTTGCTTTTGTTTCCTTAGTTCTCTCCATAGGGCTGAAAATTATGGTTACATAGCTATTATAGGAGCCACTTTGCTGGACAATCAATTTTCACCCGTCTGGTTCATGTGGATGGCTGAACATGCCCAATATTATGCTTGTGTTTCCCCAATTCTGTTCATACGCGTAAAATTGTGGTTGTGGTAGTTCTGTCGAAGTGTTATCTTAAAGTTCTTTTTCCTGTATATCATGATTCCTGTGGACTTCGGGTGGGTCTCAAAATTCTTCATTTGATTTTTCTTGTTAATGGCACCTCCTCTTGAATTGTATGATTAACTTCAGCATTCTAATGACAGCTTGATGGTCGTGTAAAAACCTTGCACCCAAATATACATGGGGGTATTTTGGCTAGAAGAGACCAGAAGCATCACGTGGAAGCTCTTAATGAACATGGAATTGGTGAGATAATAGTAAACCCTTTTACTGTACCTTAGTTATTGGTACTTTTATATGTTAAATTCTTGTCTAATGTACTTTTCTTGTCCATAATTGTGCTACTTAATTTTTGCTAAAAAATTGTTCTGGGCAGGTACATTTGATGTGGTTGTAGTGAACTTGTATCCCTTTTATGATAAAGTTACCTCTGCTGGAGGAATTGACTTTGAGGATGGAATTGAAAATATTGACATTGGTGGCCCTGCAATGATTAGAGCTGCGGCAAAGGTAATTCAGTATTATACATGCCAATCTTCCGCTAATTTTTCAAAAAATAAATATACTACGCACTTCTTGTCACAACTAAAACTCCCACTTTTCAAGATATAACTTGTCGTATCATGACATTGTACCCTCCCCAGTCAGTTAATGACTTTAATCATTGCTGAAATTGATAAGAAAATGCAGTTATCTCAGCTGGCTGAATGTGGGAGTTTGATGTTAAATAGGGCCCAACTTAAGTATCAGCAGTTCTAATGCTCCCATGCTTGAGCTTTAACTAGTGGTTGC